TGTCTATTTCCACTCTGTCAATCCCCCTAAGTATTTTGTATGCTGCTACCATTTCTCCCCGCTCCCTCCATTTTTTTCTAACGTCAGGTTCAGTTAATTCAGTCGCTCTTCATATCCCATCCCATGCAACTCCGGGACTAGCTTTGTCGCAATTTTTTTTAACCCTTTCCAGGTTCCTAATGTGTTTATGTAAGTGGGGGCTCCATGATGGGGCTGCATACTCTAAGACTGGTCTCACGTAGGCAGTGTAAAGCACTCTGAATACCTCCTTACTTAGGCTTCTGAATGACGTTCTAGCTTTAGCTAGCATAGAGTACGCTGCTGTCGTTATCCGATTTATATGTGCCTCAGGAGTTAGATTTGGTGTTACGTCCACCCCCAGGTCTCTTTCTTGAATTGTCACAGAAAGGTAGTTTACCTGCATTGTGTACTGTCCCTTTGGTCTAATGTCACCTAGTCCCATTTCCATAACTTTACACTTTACACTTAACTAGGTGTACTGGCCTAGTTGTGCTTGCGGGGGTTGAGCTATGGCTCTTTAGTCCCGCCTCTCAACTGTCAATCAACTGATGTACAGATTCCTGAGCCTATTGGGCTCTATTATATCTTCATTTGAAACTGTGTATGGAGTCTGGAGTCTCAGTTCGGGTACTAGTCTGGTGTCAAGCCGCTTAACCTTCTCCGGTTTAGTCCTGTGTTTGACGAGAGACACGGACTCCATGCTGGGGCTGCAGGTCGGACTCCATGCTGGGGCTGCAGGTCGGACTCCATGCTGGGGCTGCAGGTCGGACTCCATGCTGGGGCTGCAGGTCGGACTCCATGCTGGGGCTGCAGGTCGGACTCCATGCTGGGGCTGCAGGTCGGACTCCATGCTGGGGCTGCAGGTCGGACTCCATGCTGGGGCTGCAGGTCGGACTCCATGCTGGGGCTGCAGGTCGGACTCCATGCTGGGGCTGCAGGTCGGACTCCATGCTGGGGCTGCAGGTCGGACTCCATGCTGGGGCTGCAGGTCGGACTCCATGCTGGGGCTGCAGGTCGGACTCCATGCTGGGGCTGCAGGTCGGACTCCATGCTGGGGCTGCAGGTCGGACTCCATGCTGGGGCTGCAGGTCGGACTCCATGCTGGGGCTGCAGGTCGGACTCCATGCTGGGGCTGCAGGTCGGAAGCCAATACATTAGACAACCGACGGTTGAATGCCGGGGTCCAAGAGCTAACAGGTCGATCCTGTAGGCACGGATAATAAATACACACATACAAATGATACAGATCAACAAATGATTGGCAGTTGAGAGGCGCAGCAGCGTGTCGAAGCTCAACCCCCCCCCCCCCAACAAGTACAACTAGGTGAGCACACACCTAGGGGGGGGCCTCGTAGCCTGGTGGATAGCGCGAAGGACTCGTAATTCTGTGGCGCGGGTTCGATTCCCGCACGAGGCAGAAACAAATGGGCAAAGTTTCTTTCACCCTAAGTGCCCCTGTTACCTAGCAGTAAATAGGTACCTGGGAGTTAGTCAGCTGTCACGGGCTGCTTCCTGGGGTGTGTGTGTGTGTGGTGTGAGGAAAAAAAAAAAAGTTAGTAAACAGTTGATTGACAGTTGAGAGGCGGGCCGAAAGAGCAAAGCTCAACCCCCGCAAAACACAACACAACTAGGTGAGCACACACCCACAGCGGGATAGGGTGTGGCAGGGGAACAGGAAGGTCTTAAGAATCACTAGCCATTGAAGCCTCACGTCCCAGCTCCTGCACACGCTTTATTTGCAATAAAAAAATACATATACCAAAACTCCAGGGCAGATAAGAGTGGACAAAGACTGGCTTCCTGTGCCAGGGCGATGACAAGGAACTGGGGCGGGAGCGGACGTCTCCCGCCTCACATCCGACGGATCAAAGAAAACGGAGGGACAAAACGTAAACAAAAGATTTAAGCAAGAAGGAGGAGAGGGGGGGAATAATTTGTTTGTGATTCTGCTAAGCTCGCGTTTGGTATGCTGAGAGCGTTGTTTCGGGCGTGACTGGGAGTAGTTGGGTAGTTAATTGGTTAATGCGTGTTTGGCTGGGTGTGAGTGTGTGTCAGAATCTCTCGCTGGTGCTCTCAATGTTTTTTCATTTTTTGTTTTATATTTTGCGTAGATATGCATGATGTTACTGAGTAGTTGTAATGTGGTGTGTGTGTGTGTGTGTGTGTGTGTGTGTGTGTGTGTGTGTGTGTGTGTGTGTGTGTGTGTGTGTGTGTGTGTGTGTGTGTGTGTGTGTGTACTCACCTAGTTGTGTTTGCGAGGGTTGAGCTCTGGCTCTTTGGACCCGCTTCTCAACTGTCAATCAAACAACTGATTTTGTTTTGCACACACACACACACACACACACACACACACACACACACACACACACACACACACACACACACACACACACACACACACACGTAGTTTCAAAGCGTTATATGACAAAGAGTGCTGAGTAGACGGGACACCACGACCGTAGCTCTCATCCTGTAACTACACTTAGGTAATTACAAACACACACCATGCAAGGTAATGGAGAAGATCGTGAGAAAAAACCTTGTAACACATCTGGAGAGAAGGGACTTCGTGACAACATGGGTTCAGGGAGGGTAAATCTTCCCTTACAGGCTTAATAGAATTCTACGATTAGGTGACAAAAATTATGCAAGAAAGAGATGGATGGGCGGACTGCATTTTTTTGGACTGTCGGAAGGCCTTTGACACAGTACCCCATAAAAGGTTGACGCATAAGCTGGAGAAACAGGCAGGAGTAACTGGTAAGGTGCTCCAGTGGATAAGGGAGTACCTAAGCAATGGGAAGCAGAGAGTTACAGTGAGGGGTGAGACTTCAGATTGGCGTGAAGTCACCAGTGGAGTCCCACAGGGCTCTATACCCGGACCTATCCTGTTTCTGATATACGTAAATGATCTTCCAGAGGGTATAGACTCATTCCTCTCAATGTTTGCTGACGACGCCAAAATTATGAGAAGGAATGAGACAGAGGAGGACAGCTTGAGGCTTCAAGAAGACCTGGACAAGCTGCAGGAATGGTCGAACAAATGGTTGGTAGAGTTTAACCCAAGCAAATGTAATGTAATGAAGATAGGTGTAGGGAGCAGGAGACCAGATACAAGGTACCATTTGGGAGATGAAATACTTCAAGAGTCAGAGAGAGAGAAAGACCTGGGGGTTGATATCACGCCAGACCTGTCCCCTGAAGCTCATATCAAAAGGATAACATCAGGGGCAAATGCCAGGTTTACTACACATCTCTCTCTCTCTCTCTCTCTCTCTCTCTCTCTCTCTCTCTCTCTCTCTCTCTCTCTCTCTCTCTCTCTCTCTCTCTCTCTCTCTCTCTCTCTCTCTCTCTCTCTCTCTCTCTCTCTCTCACACACACACACACACACGACGTACTGTTGTCTCTACAAATAAAACCTCTAAATCTAAATCTATCATGGGGAAAGGGAGTTCTGCCTGAGTTATCTAATCCTGGGGAGAGTGGAGGTCAGTAAATAATGATGGGGGGGGGGGGCGGTGAATGGCATGGGGGTTCATGTGACGACATTTTGGAGGGTTTTAGAGTGGTCTTGTGGGTCATGGGGTCACATGGGGGAGAGTTAACATGGGGGAGAGTTAACATGGGGGGGGGAGGGGTATCATCAACAAGTACGCTAATTACTTTCTTTGCTCCTGTTTTTCTTCGTATCTCTCTTTCGGTTGTTTACTAAATTTGTGTCACGTCTCTGTTCTTGTGGTCTGTTTCTTCCACCTGTGAATCATGACTTTTTTTTTTACTATATATATATTTCTCTGTTTACATTACTAAAGTACCTGGTCTTTACCTGTACCTCCCTCCCCTTAGGCAGGGACGAGAGTCCGAAAGACTCCCTTAAGCAGGGACCGGAAGACTCCCCCAGGCCGGAAGTTTGTATGTGGAGGAGTTGGGGGGGAAACCGACCCCCGCCGCGAGGGGCGAGGGGGGTTGTGGTTAGCGACCGTTGGGGGTCCCCCCCCCCTTTTACATCTCTCACAGCCCCCCTACTCCCTACCATCCTCATCTCCCTCACCCCCCTTCTTGAGGCGCCCTTCGTGGAGAACTTCCATCTCTACTCATTTGTGCTTTCCTTCTCCTTCTTCCCTTTCCCGCCCTTTTTGTACCTATCCCTTTCGACTATCTCCCTCCTCCTCCTTCTATCTTCTCTTGTCCGACCTGTTCATCCGTCTTCCCTTCGTCTCCTCTCCCCCTCCTTCTCCTCCTTGCCTCCTCCTCCTCTTCCTCAGTCTTCGCCAAGTCTATAAATAATCTGGCAGTTATTTTTGACCGGAAGGAAGGAGAGAAGGGAGGGCGTGAGAACGTTGGTGTGGGAGAGTACCCAGATTATGATGCTGCGAGAGGGAGAGGAGAGAGAGAGAGAGAGAGAGAGAGAGAGAGAGAGAGAGAGAGAGAGAGAGAGAGAGATAAGAGAGAGATAAGAGAGAGCATATTTGTCTGTCCAGGGTTGGAAGATCAGATGCTTGCAAGGCTTGAGACCCACCTGACTTTGCAAGGGGAATGGTCTGAGGTATGGGATGGACATAGGCACGTACATGCTTTAAGAAATGTTAAGATTGATTGAAATATCTTGTAATTTTCATGGGTTAAGTGTGAATATTGGGTGTGATTTCCATAGGGTTATTAGTCAATAATATATATATATATATATATATATATATATATATATATATATATATATATATATATATATATATATATATATATATATATATATATATATATATTGATGGTGTATGAACTGTATATAAAAAAAATGATCACTAAATCGTGAGCAATTGATCCTCCGTTAGCATTATCGATCAGACTTTGATCATTGATATAATCAAGTCTGCCACCCATGAGGTGTGTGACTGGGTATCTGTGGGCACCTGGGTATCTGTGGGCACCTGGGTATCTGTGGGCACCTGGGTATCTGTGGGCACCTGGGTATCTGTGGGCACTTAGGTATCTGTGGGCACCTGGGTATCTGTGGGCACTTGAGTATCTGTGGGCACTTGAGTATCTGTGGGCACCTGGGTATCTGTGGGCACCTGGGTATCTGTGGACACCTGGGTATCTGTGGACACCTGGGTATCTGTGGGCACCTGGGTATCTGTGGGCACCTGGGTATCTGTGGGCACCTGGGTATCTGTGGGCACCTGGGTATCTGTGGGTACCTGGGTATCTGTGGGGACCTGGGTATCTGTGGGCACCTGGGTATCTGTGGGCACCTGGGTATCTGTGGGCACCTGGGTATCTGTGGGCACTTGGGTATCTGTGGGCACCTGGGTATCTGTGGACACCTGGGTATCTGTGGGCACCTGGGTATCTGTGGGCACCTGGGTATCTGTGGGCACCTGGGTATCTGTGGGCACCTGGGTATCTGTGGGCACTTGGGTATCTGTGGGCACCTGGGTATCTGTGGACACCTGGGTATCTGTGGGCACCTGGGTACCTGTGGGCACCTGGGTATCTGTGGGCACCTGGGTATCTGTGGGCACTTGGGTATCTGTGGGCACCTGAGTATCTGTGGGGCATAGTGGTATGTGTGTGTGTGTGTGTATTTACTATTTGTGTTATTTGTACTTGCAGGATCGAGCTCTTAGCTCTTGGACCCCGCCTCTCTACCCATCGATTGCCTGATGTACAAGGCAATTACCATATACAAACCCTTCCATTTCAAATTAAAATATCTTTATTTACATAACATATAACTTAATTCAGTCACGTAGAACATTTTTTCAGAAATTTTTTCTCAGGTTTGCAAGTGGCAAATTGTCACTTGCAAACCTGTCCCTTAAATAAACGTTACATTGTAGCAGTAACCTTATCCACTCCTCTTGCAGAATACAGTGCTATACGACAGTCAGAAATACGACAGTTCATTGGTGTTCTGTACATAAGGTTGAGACGAGTGAAGCATTGTATTGCCTGTATGTTCCCCTTAATATTATTTGCTATTATTAATGGGTATAACTCATTGTTGCCTGAAATGTGGGCATTAGGTACGGCGTTTTCGCCCGTACTTGCTTGCAGGAGGGCACGGCGCCACCCCAGCAGGAGGGCACGGCGCCACCCCAGCAGGAGGGCACGGCGCCACCCCAGCAGGAGGGCACGGCGCCACCCCAGCAGGAGGGCACGGCGCCACCCCAGCAGGAGGGCACGGCGCCACCCCAGCAGGAGGGCACGGCCCCACCCCAGCAGGAGGGCACGGCCCCCACCCCAGCAGGAGAGCACGGCGCCACCCCAGCAGGAGGGCACGGCGCCACCCCAGCAGGAGGGCACGGCGCCACCCCAGCAGGAGGGCACGGCCCCCACCCCAGCAGGAGAGCACGGCGCCACCCCAGCAGGAGGGCACGGCGCCACCCCAGCAGGAGGGCACGGCGCCACCCCAGCAGGAGGGCACGGCGCCACCCCAGCAGGAGGGTACAGCCCCCACTTCAGCAGGTTTAAGCTTCGCTACCTGGAACAAAAAGTTCCAAGTAGCACGGTCTATGGTGAGCCCGTAGTGGACTTTTGATACGTTTAACAGCACCGCCAGGTGAGGTCAAATGTTGCGGCCTTACTGATCTGTTTGTTCTCACCTAGTTGTGCTTGCTGGGGGGGGGGTTGAGCTCTGGCTCTTTGGTCCCGCCTCTCAACCGTCAATCAACTGGTGTATACAGGTTTCTGAGCCTATTGGGCTCTATCATATCTACATTTGAAACTGTGTATGGAGTCAGCCTCCACGGGCATGTGTGTGTGTGTGTGTGTGTGTGTGTTGTGTGTGTGTGTGTGTGTGTGTGTGTGTGTGTGTGTGTGGGTGACGGTTAGGAACCCAACGCTCCACTTCCCGCCATTTTCGCTTCCTTCCGGGTCTTGATTTAAACCCTTCACCCCCCCCCTCACCCCTGACACCCCCCCTGTCACCCCCCCCCTCTGTTACCCCTCCCCGTCTCCAGAGGGGGGCACATCCTCTCTATATCCACTTCTGTGCTCCTAATAACTGCTCTGCAATCCTCTATAGATGCTAGAACAAATGTACGCGACTCTATACCCTCTACAGCAAGCATGTCAAACTGAGGGTGGCCCTGAGGGCCATGTGTGAGCCACAT